TGTATATACTCATTAGAGATGATCATAGGAGTGTACATTTTCTATTAGTACCATACAAATCCCTATGCCAGTATAGATAGTATATCGACTGTAACTACACAAAACCGTTATGAAAACTTGACTTCCTATATACCATTTGATGTATCTCAACGAGCTCTACAATACTGTATAAAAATGAAATCGATTCAAGAAAATTTTTTTATCCGGCGGGGTCCTTTCATCCAATAATTATTTTCGAAAAATTATACTAGTATGAAAGATACCTCATTCATAATTGAGATTCACGAGACACGTAGATTTTACTATTGTTTTCATAAAAATAGCAATAACTTTATTTTTAGAGTGATTATATTAAATGAATCGTTTTTTTAAATTATTTTATAATGGTATACGCAGTACTCAAGAGCAAATCATTGTTGCCTAAATGTTATTCATTATTTAAGCTCATTTTAATTATAAGTTTATTATTTATTGGTTATAACTTTTATAAAAAGTTTACCTGGTCAATAATAAATTGGTCGATAGAAGATTCATCTGTGATTTCAACAAGTAGATCCTACAATTGTTTATTAAATCTTGAAAATAATAGTAATATAACCTCGTTATACTATCGTCATGCAACAGCCGAACGTAATTCATCTTATCCATTCATAAGTGGTGATACGTTTCGTGCATTTGCTGATTATGTATTTGATGAAACGAAACAAGATAAATTTGAATCTCTTAAATATGGTGATATCGTTTTTGTGAAAGCTGATGTATTTAACAAATTTTTTCAGGAACCATACAACTCAATAAAGCAGCCATTTGTTCTTGTTACACATAACAGTGATTTTTTTGCACCTCGTAATTTTGCGCCTAAGTTAAATGATAAAAAATTAATAGCTTGGTATGCTTCAAATCCTGACGTGAGAAATCATTCGAAAATATTTCCTATTCCTATTGGATTAGCTAATACTCGCTGGGACTTTGGTGAACTTAAGCGATTGACAAATGGATTTAAAAAATATCGAAAACCTTGGTCTAATCGGACAAATTTATTGTATGTTAACTTTTCTGTTCGTAATAATCCAGTTGAACGTCAAGCAGCTCTTTCTCAAGCACGAAAATTTAAAAATGTTACAATTGTAAACAAAAAGATTTCATACGAAACTTATTTAGAACAAGTTGGCAATACAAGATTTGTTTTATCACCGCCCGGCAATGGACTAGATTGTCATCGAACATGGGAAGCAATGTTGATGGGCGCTGTACCAGTTGTTATTTCATCGGGACTTGATCCATTATTCAAGAATACCCCAACAGTTATTCTTAAAGCTTGGACAGATTTAAATGAAACGCTTTTATCATCATACAAGCTTTCTTCATACGATAATGTTGTGTCTCCAGTTTTATGCGCTCGATATTGGTTTCAAAGACTTTTAAAATATCGTGAGAGATAATTCGCGTATTTGTTATAGTTTCATTACGAGAATAATTGTTTAGTATTTTTTGTTTCGCTATACGTACGGACAGTAAATAATTTTCTGTATTAATGAATGTACTACTGTTTTGACTAATAATATTTATTTAAACAAAAAAATTATTTCGCCTAGTAACCGTATCGTACAACTTGACCATGAGACTCCATAGAAAATTAGTGCATCATTTTATAATCTGCATTTAATCTTATATCCGAATATTTTTACTGATTTTAAACGGTTGCTCATATGAAGAGCTTTTATATTTAAACCAATAGGATTTCATAAGCAGAAGACATCAAGAGAATTTTAAATTATTTGATGTTGTTGTTACATATTATATTTTATCTTTACTTTCTCATTTACTTTTTCTCAACGGAACTAAATATAGTATCATTTTTCATATAAAATAACAGTCTGAAAGCTCTATACTTATTATGAATGTATGTGACAGATGTTCATTACAGATACTCATATACTAACTGATTGCAAAAGGTCGCACTCGTGGAAACCAATAGCTAATGAGAAAAAAAGCATGCAGGTGGTAATTTATAGACTGAGTAGCTATTCTTGTAATTAAATATATGATGAAAGTTGTCAAAATAGCTATAGAAACAGAGAATATGCAGCTAAGTTATAAAAACTAAGATAGTGTTAAAAGACAGTTGAAAACTATCAGTATTGATCGCTAAGCTACGAATCAGCTTAGATTTTTCAGTTAACCCTTTCCGGCCCGCTGTTTGGAAATTGCCGTACCACCCTAGGGGGAAATGTTGCCATATGGCAACATCGGGCCGGAAAGGGTTAAGGAAAAAATATTATATACGATTGAATTATTTTTCCATATTGTGCGTGACGTTTCCGTAGTTCTGAGAAATAAGATGATCTTACATAATAAAATATCAACATATCAAACTTGCATGAGTCTGTATCATGCTACAGGGATGTGAAAAATACCATGAATATTAACAAAATCGAAATAATTCAAATGCACACATGAAACTATCTGATACATTCGTAGCTGTGTAACATTATGCACAGTCAATGAATCGGAAAATGATTCGGTTATTCAAGTACGGTTGTTTTGTATTCTTCGCTGAATTGGACTGCCGTAAATACAAAGATTATATTTTGTAACATTATGCAGCATATACTCCGTCGTTTATATTCAGATAACTTTCAATTATGTCTCTTCTGTTTCCTAAATAAGTTGATGGTTCAATCATGCTAAATATTCATAACGAGCAGTTGTAAAATGAACTTTCTCCAATGGATCAGCTTCCAATCTGTGTACCAGAGGTGTCCACAGGGCAGGGCAGGACAGAGGGCGAATTTTTAAAAAATTGATCCGCCCTATACAGTGCAGGGCAGAAAGTGGAAAACGACAGGGCAGGGCAGGGCTATACCTTCACGCCCTGCAAATTTTGCATATACTTACTTTAGTTCGAAAATAACAGCAATTTTATTCTTCTCGGGAACGTGAAAGAAACTAAAACTATCCAGATATCGCTATAGAATAGTAAGTAGATTGTTATATTTTTGTTTGTATGATGACCGTATAAGGTCCAATCAAGTTTGTAAGAAAACAAAAGAAAATAATAAATTAATCATAATAGTGATAATAGTGTACATTTACTTAAAATATAATTGTAATAGTTGCTGATGTTCTTATTATTTCAATAAAACTATGCACCGCTATCATCGTCGATAGATTCATGTGCTGATATTTCATCTATCTTTCCTGGTGATGAAAATGAAGTTTTTATTCTCTCTTCGTTAAATATATCTCGCCTTGTCCAAATGTAATGCTGTGATATTTTGACAAATAGTTTTGCAATTATCTCGAAAGGTATAAGAGCTAATAAGGTCGTTCAAACGTCATTCGACGCAACTTATCATAATCTATTAATGTTGAAAGAGTGGCCTAGTTAGACTGAATTCTCGCGCTTCTAGAAAGGTTTTATTATCGCGCAACACTGACAAAAAAGGACCCTTTTTTCTAGGTTTGCTTATAAAGCTCTAATTTCTTGCCAAATCATTTCTTCAAATGAAATGCTTATGGTACCGTTTTAGTAGAGAATTGAATGGGCTTTCAAGCAGTAAAAAGTATTTTTTCTAAACTACTTTCACTCAGACTAAAAATGTAAAAACCAAACATAACGCTGTGACACGTTTTTTTGTCGACCGAATTTGAAGCACCTAACATGCTTAAAAATATTCAATGTTTATATGTTGATCACTGCCATGCATATCCTTCTGTAAAAAAATCTAGTTGCTACATCCAAAATACGAGCTCAATAATTGCATAGTAAGTTAGAAACTGTACAAGCGCTCAGAAGTTGTCCTGAAGAATGTGAGTAAACAATTAACAGGGCACTTTGTAAAGAATCAAATTCTGCATCGAATGGTATATTTATTAGAGATCCCTGTGCCTTCTTGATGTTAATAACGAATGAGTACCATAACGATGGAACTAACTTTATCATTGAAGAAAGAGGAGTATATATAGGGGGAATATGTGTCACGGAATGAGTATACAAACGTCGATGAGTCAAGGAATAAAAATATGACTGTAACAATATTACTCTGCATTTTCGTTTTAAATTTCTTGGTTACAAAATTGAAAATACAATTTATGAAAACTTAATTTTCGATGCCAAAACCCAATTTTTTTTAACAAAAAAAAGTCCAAATTCACAACCAGTGTAAAAAAGTTGTACCAGAAAATGCGCTGAGATCTGTTTATATCGACACAAAACATTCCTAAAACTGGATCAGCGAAGTAACGGGTTACGTGGACAAGGCGATCTACTGATGGATCATCAGTGATGATGCAATATCATCATATACACTTTTTCAATTAGCGCTAATTTATTATTTGCTGATCATTTATCTATTTGCTGAACTATGTTTCAAACAAAAAAAGATTACTTACACTTGAATTTAAATATGAAAAAAAATCTTCTTAATTAGCAGGGCAGGGCAGGACACAAATTATTTGAAAATGATTTTGCCCTGCCAGGGCAGGGCGAGTTACGATAAAAAGCAGGGCAGGACAGGGCAATAAAATTGACCCTGTGGGCACCTCTGATCTGTACCATATCGTCTTTGAGTTAGGAGAGTTAGGTCAGTTTTAACGAGCTCGGCGTCTGGTGTCACTCCTTAATTATATCGCTGATTTTTTCATATTTTGTTTGAACTCATGATTCAAAAATATTCTGATGTTCTTTCTAGCGGCAGATGAGACAATGGATAATTGGTTTGGCGATTATTCTGATTCATCAATTCAAAAGCATCGTTTTCGATGTTCAGAAACTGAACAAACTTCTTTCACGGTCATGTCAATTGGAGATAATCGTGTCAATTGTAAGAAAAGCAATCACGATGAATATTCTGAAAAGTACAATGTCGAACTTAATCATATCAAATGTGTTAGTAGAGATTCTGCCGATTGTATATTTTTTCGACAATACATTGCAGAATCGTCCATCGAAGACACAGACAACACAGAAAAAGTCGATAACTCGATGAAATTCTGGAATTCCTGTGATTCCTATTGGGAAAAGAGTTATGGTGCTGATGAAACTGACTGTCATCAATGGAAATGTCCATCACATTACACGTCCAAAGAATTTTACCAATGTCGATCAGGTCAATGTATTTCCGAAAATAGGTTGTGTGATGGGGTTTGGGACTGCTCAGATGGAACTGATGAAGAAGGCATACAGCTGTTAACAGAGCACACAGTCGGTGAACATAATTTGAAATTATTTCAGCTACTAAAAACAAATTTAACCCAACAGAAAAATCGATGTTTGAAAGAGAATTCAGTACGTTCATTCGCACAATTGTGTGACATCACAACTGAATATCCTTGTCTGTTGGCGAATGTAGATGATCCATTGAGTTTTCGATTAAATCGGCCATGTATTAATCTGAGACAACTGGGTGATGGTCGTGTTGATTGTTATGGCGGATTAGATGAACGAAATATATTGAATTGTACATCGCATAAACAGTTAGGTTTTGGATTTAAATGTAATAGCAATGACAGTTGTATTCAAAGAAAACAACAATGCATTACTGATAATCAATGCCTTAATGGCAACGATCGTCTACTATGCATTTATTTATATAATAACTCAAATGTGAAATGTAATGGTCAACTTTCAACCGCGACTGTGAAAGATGTCCACTGTTTTAATGGAAGCTGCTTGCCAGATTCACGATGTAACGGTTTGATAGAATGTCCATTCGGCGAGGATGAATACTATTGTCCAACTGAAAGTCCCTCGTCAGTGCTAGCTTATCGACCACGCATTAAGAAATCTTATTTTCCTTCAATTAACATACAACTACCAAATTATTCTCCATTTTCTTTCCTAGTAAATGAATCCAATGACAACAATGACAAGAGCAAAACATTAAAATCACAGACATCAATAATTGGTAAGTTCACATTATAAATACGATATATGTTGTTTTATCGATTGCTTTTGTTAATTGATTCAGCTATTCATGATCAAAGTTCATTCACAAGATCATCTCGACAAAAATTGGCGAATCAGTTTTCTAAGGAAGGTTGGATATGTAATCGTG